CACTGTAGCAGTGCGCCACCGGGCCGGCCCCTATCACTGGCATTTAAAACAACCCCGCCACTCACCTGTGTCCTGGGGAGGTGACTGACTGCATTTTTGTGAGAAGCAGGCTTATCCATAGGCTGCTTAATCCTGGGTGGGCCCTGTGGTGGCCAGTAGAGCCAGGCAGGTTCCACAGTGGCTGTCTCAGTCGCACTTACTTTCCATGGTTCTGAGACCCTATGGGGCCCAAGCTTACATGGTCATAGCATATCTGCGAAGATGTTTGTCTGTGCGATGCGTCCGGAAATTGGAGCGGTCAGAAAGTCCAGGTACTCCTGTCCTCTGGCTCCCAAGAGCCTCTCTGTCCACGAAGGTATCCTCTTGCCCTTCAGATTCCCCCTTACCAATCTCTTGAACCCCTGAGCATCTCGGGTCTCACCATGAGCATCCATGTGATTACTTTTCCTGCTTATCTCATTGTTGTCTCTAAACTTTTCTCCCCCTGCCCAAAAAGACCCTCTTTCTTATTTTATCTCAGTGTGCAAGGTGCCAAATTGTGCTCAATCTGCTTCTTTGTTCCATCAAAGCATTTTCTCTCTGTCATTATGAGGCTGTATCCCTCGTACCATAGACTCCCGGATTCCCCCTATGCCCCTACCTCTGACCCAGCTGCCCTCTCGGGGCACCAGCATTCCCAAAAGGAAAGTCCTCCTTTCCATCCACGGCATATAACCCCAACCACATGGCCTCATAACGTTTGGGTGAAAGACGAAGATTCCTGCATTGCCCACTCTGGCCAACACGTGGCAGACAAGGATATCACTAAACCTGGGCTGACTGGAACTGGGGAGAGGGGAGGGACTTTCCCGGTAGTGAAAGCTGACTGGTGCGTAATGCTTCCCCTACATCCTGAAAGCTTTATTGAGCACCTGCTGCATGCATGCCTCTGTGTTTTTCAGTCCTGAGATGCTTAGTATGCTTTCACAAAGTGGGTTCTCAGGACTATTTTTTTGGCTTCTGATAGCCATCTTATTATT